CGGAAAGAATAAACCAGTTTTATTTAAGAAAGGACTTGTGTCGCTAAAGTTTCGTCGGAACGAATTTACGGAAAATTAACGAACGAACGGAGACGTAACAGTATCATTATTCAAATAATGGATCAAGATGAGACAGGTGAGAAATTAATACGTGCTAAGTACAAGATGGCGTACGCTTTACATATATTTATCAGTATAAACCCCTGTAATACTGTATACTTGCAACTTAGTAATTATTCTCAGTATTTTATACTTTCTTCATATGGTAAGATATTCACTTACAAAATAAAACAGGTTTCCAAATCTTTCAACAACGGTTCACAATTATAACAGTGAAATTACAAATGATAATATTAATATTAGTACCAATTATTCATGTAACATCGAGGTCACGACAAATTAAGATTGCAGTGAGTCATATAAAAATGTTTAGTGTTTCTTTGCTTGTTTGTTAAGTGCAAAGCTACACGATGACCCATCTGCAAGAGCTGCGTCCACTGCAGATATCGAACCCCAAATTTTAGTGTTATAAATCCACAAGCTTGCTGCTGAGCTTTTTCTCGTTAACGTTATCTATTGAGAAATATGTTGAATTAACCCAATTTTCTTAAGTTTCCTAAATCATCGTATTTTCAATGCAAGAGATCAAACTAAATAATAAATTATTTCCCTTTTAACTGAAAATAACATCTAACCGCCCTGTTTTTTATAAAAACTTTTCTAACCCCTGATAAAAAAGGACTGGGAAAGAAATAATGTAAAATATACGACCCAAGTTTAACTCTCCAACTTCGGCAAATTTTCAAAGTATTCGAAAATTCTTCAAACACAAGAGAAGTCTACGTTTATCGAAGCACAATTTAGAAAGATTCGGGTAATTTTGAAAATTCGCATTTTCAGACTCCACAACACATCCGATCAATCTTCATCTAAATTCACAAAGACAGGTTACCCCCCCCCCCCCGCCGGGTTCAGCGGTAAGTCTTAGGGCTTATAACTCTAAAAACGAGTTTCGATACCAGCGGTAGGCAGAATCCAGGCAGCTCATAGTGTATTTTTGCGCTTGACAATAAACACAATTACAGGAAACAAGTTGTAGGACGTCATCACGATGAAAAGTCCACTTTATAATTATATTTATGTTATTTTTGATTTCTAGGCATTACATATAAAGAATTGATCAATAAAGACCTAAATATCAGAGGATAAAGTTCTGAGGCAATGAGGTTTTATAGAGTTTAAAACCCAAACTGAAACCAAACTGTGGACATCACCAATCTAGCCACACTTTTAACTGAGTTTCAAATCATCCGTTAGTCGAGTTGAAAAAAGAAGCTAAAGTCTATTATTGCTTAGTTTAACAACTAATATTGTAGTTTGAAAATATGGCAGCGTTTTTACGTACACGGTGATATAATCTTTCTTTTATACAGAAATAAATTCCAGAAACTACCCAAATCAGGCTAAAAAATATATCAAATATTTTCGAACCAGCTATTTTGGACTTGTGCAGAAGAAACTGAACATTTTCAATTTCATTTTAACAAGTAAAAGTGGTTTTACAGAACATGCTTTTGGTCTGTATGTAGCATTCAAGATTAAATAAACCACTAACAAACTTTAGGTTAAAGGTCCCCAAGAGGCAGTCTGCGGGCAACATCAGGCCCTCGAAAACCTGATTCGTGTCCAATGAACAATGATCAAATATTGCATAAGTAAAATTGTCCGAAATGACGTATTCCCCAACAAGCTCAGGTCAGGTCCTTGGCTTTATGGTCATCGTATGAAGTGATTAAGTGTGGAAAATAACTGGGGATCACTGATCTAGATTTTAGAACTCGCAAAATTTTAACTGGAAATGAAATCACGAACGCAATAACTATCACTCACGTTACCAGTCAGTCGTCAGCATCAGTATTATGAAGTTGCTATTATACAGTGACTTTTAACCTTCAAATTATCGACATACTTTTATAATACTCATTACCAGTGGTGTCCACGTATTGCATCATATTGAATAACTTTATGTTTTTGCCTGATACAACACTCAATCTAAAGAACTGACCAAAATGTTTTGTGAAATTACTTATTTTGTATGTGGAATATATATTGTGGATCCCAGCGGTAATTAGTGGAATTAACTGCAGTATCGATAGTATTTTATATTTACTTTTTATGTAATTCAAGTTATTCGTAACCCTGTAATCAATAAGGTCATGAACCCACAAACAGCCTGATGGATAAACCGTTTTGAAAAATGTGTTTGAAAACTTTTTTTGCGAATAACTAGTAATAACAATGAGAAGTCATAAAATGGTATAGCATAAATCCCTATTAATAGGGTTTTTTTTTACTACAAACTTAACTAGTTTGAATGACGTTTCCTTGTATCAGTGGACAGAATGGGACCAGCGCGACTTAAACTGTATGGAAGCTATTATTAGGATTACGGTAAGATGTAACACTAGTTCACATCATCAACAATATTCCTTACTTCTACTGAATACTTCACTTCCCTCATAACATTGTTATTTATTTTTTCAATTGACTCAAACAACACTGTTTTATCATTTTCTAAGAATGTATCTGAAATCAACGAGGTTTCTTACCGTACACCGCAAGACAAGAATTAACCTTGGTATCGCATATTAACTGACAAGCACAGCAGCATAATTATTTAGTAGAGATAATTCTATCCACCACGTATTAAGCCAGGCGAATTTTTTTAGCTGTTTTGTCGGGTGTTTTCGAATAAACTCATGATAACGCCAAGAGGATATATCAACGGTACGTTTCGAAAGAATAATGTGTTTGTCTTGTTGTATACAGCACACGCTCTTTCATTTGCCCCTTTTCATTAGGACTTGACTGACACGTACATGTGCAGGTCACGAGCCATTCTACACAGTTAATGTATACAGTGTGACTTTAGGGTCGTCCTTGGCAGTACCGCCTACCCACTTCCTACTTCACTTGGTAATCATTTATACAACTGTCAAGCAGACGCCATTGGGACACTGTGACACCAGTTTTTGATAACCTCTGATGAAGACGAGTAGGTGGTGAGAACAGAGGTAGGCGAAAACAATCCGTTTTCTTTCGTTATGTACTTTATGATTTTACAGAAGTACACCTTGTCTGAGTCAAATGACAAGCTCATTAATCGTGAGTCCTATTCAGACAGTCGATTTGGTTAAAGACACTCTGTACTCTAACATATTTGAAATGTGTATGCACTTCCCTAAAGTACTAAAGCAGCAGTCAAACAGGGCATGTAAAGTTGTAATACAAAACTGTCAAAATAAAAGCATTCTTTTTTATGTTATTATTTTAAAGTAGGTGGTTTTTGACATCAATTACTTTGCGGATGAGAATATAGAGGTCACTGCACTCAAATACAGTAAATTATAAACAACAATATGCTGAATCGCCTATGCCTGAAGTTACATTCTACATTATAATTACTCCCTCTCTTTTCCCCAAGATTAGTGTAGAAATACATAATAATGGGAACTCAAACAATGAGCTTCCTTCTACACATAACTGGTTTTCTTTTCAACGTTATGATTTCCGATTGTTCGAGAAAACTCGCCCTTGTTAGAAATAAACATAGATTTAGAATTTCCAAGAAACTAGTAACCAAAGCTTCTGATTTCGAGGGCAAAATACAGGGTAACTTTCTCCTTTTTTTAACCGAATGCTAGCTTAAAATCCCCCCCTTTTTGGCTAGATGGGTTTCACATTTTCTTTTCTTGTCATGTTCACAATATTGTTAAATAATGCGAAAATGTCAGATCAAATATCTCGACTTCAGAACTGAAAACGATCATATATCTTTATAAGAATAAAAATATCATTTTAAAGGCTGACAAGAGCAATATAGTTGTTCAGAGAGCCGTGAACTGTAAAGAACAAAACTACAACAACTTATTCTTTATGAAATATTACACTTTCAACTTCTAGATTACGACCATCTTAAAAAAACCGGAGAGATAGCCACGGAAACTGTTCACATCAAATCAACAAATGTATTATAATACTTCACGTTAAATTACTTTTAATTTTCCATCTAACAGTAGATCAACTATAATATTTAAGTTAAAATTAAAACAAATGTAATTTTCACTCCTTCCCATCACATCAAATTAACTGCAGTCTTCCTCTTGACATCAGATCACTTGTATCTTCCACCTAATAACCAGTAAACGACAACTTTTCAAATTATGTAACACCAACAACAACGGATGTGTGTCCATATTGTCTTATTTCTTTAGTGATTGACATAGAGAAAAATACTGTTGCAATTCAGTAATCAGAAACACTATCATGCACGCACGGCTACACCCTCACTAAATCCCACCCAGTCAAGTTTACCTGGCTTGTTGTATTGGATTGCATTAAACGGTATCATCTTTTCCCTTATGGACCTCCCAATGTTAAAGATTTTCTATTGATTTTTACAAGCTAGTCCCCGGACTACAAGAACTAAGCCCTTTCTTTGTACTAATGACTCACTTTAACTGGCAACTGGCATTAACCAATAATAAACTATCATTCCTGTTCACAATAATGTTCCATCCTTCATTTACCCCCCCCCCCCCAGTGGCACAGCGGAATGTCTGCGGAGTTACAACGCTAAATTCTGGGTTTCGATAGGCGTGTTGGGCAGAGCACAGTTAGCCCATTGTGTAGCTTTGTGCTTAATTTCAAACAAACAAACAAACAAATATTTATCCTGTCAGACTCAGTGTAATAGTACAGAAATTTTTAATAACCACGAGAAGGCCTAAAAAAAAAGACATTTAGATATGTTTACCCGTGTGGAGAGCTATCGGACGAATGAAAGCCAACCATTCACAGAAGACTGTTACAAATTGGCTTCAAATGTCTCAAAATGCCGCAAGAAGAACAGAAAACAGCTTCAAAACCTACGTTTCAGTAGTTCGGACTATCATCTATAACACAAGCAGACGACTAATATCCTTCGATTTTCGATAGACTCACCGATAGAGTACCTGCTCCGAGACTGGGTGAGATGAGATGTAGATAAATGCAACAGGACGCAGTACAGACAGTCAGTAACGGTCTTCACAAAGTCAGGTGCCCAAAGAAACACATTTCGCTCACAGCAAGACAAAATGGCTCGAATGCAGTGATGATAAAAATACATTTAGTGCACCAATGACGTAAGAAACAATACTCTTTTGTTTTTAAATCAACTCTTTATTCATACAGGACGTAACGTGGTGCAATCATGATGTGTGCAGGAGAGGGCACAGGTGGACATATCCTGTGCAATGGTGCTAGTAACGCTACATATTATAGAGACCACATTATACAACCTTTGTGCTACCATGTTTCGGTGCAATACGTTTCCACCTAATGGATGATAACAACCTGCTCCTATTGTGCTAAAGTGGTCGAAATATTTTCCGAAGAAGACCGGATTGACTGAATGAGTGGACTACAGACTTTAAACTACCCTCTGTAGTGCCATGTTTCGGTGTAACTCCAATCTAACATGTACCTATCATGTCCCCAGTTGTAACTCCAATGGACTTTTTTACCTTTCATCTGCATAAAAGTGGTTTTGGAAACCGAAGTCTCGTATAGTAGAGGCCTGGCATAGCCAGGTGGTTAGGGCGCTCGACTCGCAGTCTATGGGTCACGGGTTCGAATCCCATCACCACACATACTCGCCCTTTCAGCCACGGGAACGTTATAATATCACATTCAATCTCAGTATTCGTTAGTAAAGAGTAGCCCAAGAGTTGGTGGTGGGTGATGTTGACGAGCTGCCTTCCCTTTAATCTATCACTTCTAAATTAGGGACAGCTGGCACAGATAACCCTCAAGTAACTTTGCTAAGTGTCTCAACCCTAATGTTTTAATTTTTGGTTATTTTTTAAAGTTACCCACTTAATTCATGAACATATATAAAGTTCTTGAAACAGCTTTTAGTGAGAATATTACATTTATTTTTTTTGGTACCAAGTTTCGTCTCAACAACATTCAAAGTACTTTTAGAGATGAAACGTTGTACTAAAAATTAAATCTAATATTCCCATGAAAGTTTTATCAATAACTTTATAGTTTTAAACCCAACTGTTGTGGTGCTTAAGTTATGATATTTTCTGATAAAATCTGTCCTATCAGATAAACTATATCATCTCTATACTAGTTTTATAGTAGTTGTATAGAAGAAAACTTCTACGCTTCCTTCACTTCTTTTATCTCACTCTGCACTCAGGTACAACCTTTGTATTCTGATAAATTTATAACATTTGCTGTTCTTATCTCCCAATAACCTACTTGAAGTTTGACTCTACACACCTACAGTATGCTTATCTTAATGCATTTTCTGGCACAACTTCATGTAGCAAGCTTTTCAAGAATTTTCGGTTGCTTTTTTTTTCACCGTTGTATATACTTCACTTTTTTCTGCACACTTTGAAGGTAAAACATCTCATGAAACTAAGTGTGTATGGTGTTTCAGGTGTCTATTTACTCATCACAAGCAACCTATACATGCATATGTGGACTCGAAAAGTTGATAGCACTAATGTTATTACTTTACCCTTCTATTCGCCAGACAAGCTGCTTAACATAATTTAATTTTTACCTCATTAACAAATTGTGAACTGTGAAAATTAATTGAAAGAGTAAGAAGTGAGATTCACCACCCTTGTCAAAATTATTGATGAATATCTGAACCAGGCATACCTCAATAGTGTAAATATCGGAACCAGGCATACCTCAATAGTGTAAATATCGGAACCAGACATACCTCAATAGTGTAAATATCGGAACCAGGCATACCTCAATAGTGTAAATATCGGAACCAGACATACCTCAATAGTGTAAATATCGGAACCAGGCATACCTCAATAGTGTAAATATCGGAACCAGGCATACCTCAGTCGGTTATTTATTACGTGCCTCCCAGTGGCACAACGGTATGTCTGCGTGTTTGTACTGCTAGGAACAGGGTTCCGAAACCCATGGTGAGCAGAGCACAGATAGCCCTTTGTGTAGCTTTTTGCTTAATAACAACAACAATTTATTACTATAGTTGGAAGATGTACACAAGGTTATCTTTTCGAATGAAACTATGATTATTTTATAGGTACGTGAAACATCTCTTTCATCAACATCAAAACAAATATATATATATACGATTCTCATAACCTATAATGCTTCTGACAAACAAGCTGTTCAGCATACGATTTGGGGGAGACTTTTATCCA